ATTTGGTTTTTGTTGCCTTTGTTGTGTGCTTGCATTAAGATTCGAGTGAGCCATTAGAGAGTGAAAACTTGGTGATTCAGGGGAGGTTGAAGAGAGGGGAAATTTGCTGGAGTGATGCTTATCCTTAAGTAGGTAGGGATCTAAGATGGGATCTTGAATATATCAAGTGTTTGTGGCCTGAGAAATGAGTCATTCATCCACACTAAGAAGAGAAAAAGCAGAGATTGCACCTGTTAATGCAGACGGATTAGTAGCGATGGGAAATTATGGATATATCTTTCTGAGTATTTCTCACTCCTCCCTCTGAAATAGGAAGCAATTTCTAACTTGAATGGAAAAAAAAGTGTTTGATAAGAGGAAGTTGTATTATAGTCACCACCTAGGGAGTATAGAATAATGAATGCTTGGAAGGAGTCAGCAAATGATGGCCCTCAGGCTAACTATGGGTGGGCAACCATTTGTTTTTGCAAACAAAGCTTTATTGGAGCACAGCTCCCAGCTCCCACCATTTATTTACATATTCCAATTGTGGTTCTCCCGCTTACAATGTCAGAGCCAAGAAGCTGCAACAAAACAAATCCCTCAAGGTCCATAAAACCTGAGACATTCACTCTGTGGTCTTTTACTGAAAAAGTTGTCAATCCTCGTTCTAGGAGAAATGGAGTTGATTGACTATCATATCTACGGGCTCATCTAAACACGGGTGGGGGGGGCGTCAGGCTTGTGTTCCTTTAGCCACTCAAGTTCAAGTGTAGGTGGCTAGAGGAATGAAACCAGGGCTGGCATTTTACTGTGAGAGTTTAGGGAAAATAGAGAGTCAGAGGTGATGAGGACTTGCCAAGGTAGTGATTGCAGTGATAGACCATGTAAAATAAGCTAGTTACAGGGAAGCCCCCTGACATAAGGGAAATGAGGGCTATAAAAACTAGGAGATCAGTAGATATATGGTCCCAAGAATTAAGGGAGTAGGAAAGGTAGCAAACTGAAGTTGGAAATGGAATACATGAAATTTAAAATATACATGATGTGCAGTTATTGGAAATTCTGAGTTTTAGAAATGGAGCACCTGGAGTGGGGTAGGGGGCAAAACCAGCGACGGAGAGAAAAGAAGTACCGACCCTATAACTGATTTGTCAGGGTGTCGCTTTAATATATGAAGTCTCCATTGGCTTCATGGAGACGCTTTTTGTTCTTGCTTCAAGCAATAAGTGTCTACTTACTGTATACATCAATAGATATTCTACTTGTGGAAATGTAGAAGTTACCTGATGATCTTGGAGATTAGGGAGTGGAAATTAAGAAGTAAGGCAGGAAAAAATCTTAAAATTAGTTGTGCTGACTTGTGTAAATACCACAACTACATGCTTACAATGCGACTTTCATATCACTTGCTCTTGTTACATTGTTGTCTCTAATGTACCAGGTGCAGTACTTGCTAGGTGCGATCTAGGGCTTGGAAAATATGATTATTTTAAGACTAGGAAGGTGTAATTCAGGAAGACCACTGGCTTGCTAACACTCAGTTCTCGGGCAGGACATTGCTTTTTCTCTTGAAGACTCGATCCCATGCTTTTTATAAATAAAGTACCAAGAAAGATGATGAACACAGTAGTCACTGTACCTAGAGAGAAAAGCCAGTGTAGCTTATGACCTCCCAGGCTGGGGGCTTGGTATTGAGCTGGAATGCTGTATTGTCGTTCAGCGGGGAGGTTAATGGGAGGTTAGGAAGGCCTTGCTTTCAATTTGTGTTAACCTTATTAAGTCTTTCCTTTATTTATTTTATTTGTTTTTTTAAGTCTTTCCTTTAAATGATGTCATAATCCCTTAAAATCTATTTCTCGTTTCTGAGAATCTTCTCCTTCTGTCTATTGAAGGGCCAGGTTAGCATTTTATTTTTCACAGTTAAATTGACAAGCTTATACTACACGTGCACTACATGAGGTTCCAAGCGACTGACAGATTTCATAGATTAATCAATGGTAGTGATAAAAGAATTTAAAAAGATATTAAAAAAACCCCAAGGAACTTGCCAATTCTAAATTTATTGAAAGCACAGAAGTAGGTCATGTGTATTTTTATCGGATCTTATAAGTGGTCCTTTTCCACTGAGTCAACTAACAAATGAATGTTGAAATGGGAGTGCTAATTTGTGACACTTCGTGTAAATCCCTCTGAGAAAAAAGGATCAATACTTTCTAGACACACTGAAAAAAATCAGTAGAAAAAAGTCTGGGGCTTACCCACACACAGTCAGCATTCTACATGAGCCAGCCACACCTGTGCTCCAGCCTGAGGCGCCTTCCTTGGATCACGGCTCCTGGCAATCTACACCAAACGGTGGAGAAGGGCAGACTCACAGACTCGGATCTGTCAGGGGATACCACCGTCCCCATCAGGGTGGCTCCCAAGAGACAAAAGTAATTGTTGAAACAAAAAAAGCATATAGATTACAACACTTTTAATTTTTTAAAATGTTTTTAAGATTTTATTTATTTATTCATGAGAGACACACAGAGAGAGAGGCAGAGACACAGGCAGAGGGAGAAGTAGGCTTCATGCAGGGATCCCGATGCAGGACTCGATTCCGGGATCTGGGATCATGACCTGAGCCCAAGGCAGATACTCAACTGCTGAGCCACCCAGGTGTCCCGATTACAGCACTTTTTAAAAAGCCAGACAATGTTCCTGTTTTCTAATCAGAGCAGGGATGCTGGGCAACTTAGTGGGATCAGCTCTCTCATGCTCCATCCTCGGCTGTTGGGGGAGGAAAGTTGTTCTATCCTGCAAGGCCTGGAGTGGGAGGGTATTTGCTCAAGCATCCAGTGGAGGGCACACAATGCCGAAGAAAAGAAGAGCTGTGAGTCTCAACTGGTTTTCCCACTTAAAATTTTTTTAAAAAAAATTTTATAGGCTGTTTCTTCTTGATGTAATCCTTGGTGTTTGTAGTTTTTCTACAAATATCCCCCCCATGCAATTTACATCTTCCAATAACTGCAGTTTTATTTCTTCCTCTTATTCCAAGTATAATAGTGGAATTACTTGGATCTCTTCTCTTTCCTAATTCGTATTCCCCCATTGTTTATTTATTTTCTTTTGTTTGGTGTTTTCTTCTCCAGGGGGTTGCACAGGTTAGAAATACAGTGGTTTAGGTAAATTTTATTTCATTTTGATATCATTTCATTTAATATTTTATTTATTTCAGTAATTCATTTAAAAATTAACACTTCAATGGACAGCATTTTCTACATTCTTTTCAGTTTGCAAGCATGGTGGATTTGGGGGGAAAGAGTAAAAGAGTCTCAAAAATCACAGCGGTAAAATTCACTTTTGTGAGAAGAAACTCAAGGTCCTGGCTTAGTTAAGCCAGTAGGAAGAGGGTCACATGTGAGTTAGCTAGCAGCATTTTGTAGACTTGCCTCCATGGACTTCAGATGCTCTGCTATCTGAAAACCTCACAGAAAACTTAGCAGAGTGTTTCTCAGGGTATGATGGCTTAATTCAAGTCCCATCATGCTCAGCATTTGTAAACTATGGAGTGATTTAAGTGAAAGATATGTTAAAAATGATATTTTTCTCTTTTGTCTAAAAGGCAAAAATAAAACAAGAGTCAGGTTAACTTGATCTTTGAATGAATAAATCAGAATCTGCTATTTCTACATTTTAACATGAGGAAGTCAACTGAATACACCCATGCCAAAGCTGGACGACACACATTGTCTTCTCAAAGTGAGTAATTTCCTTAGTCTTCACATTAGCTTTATGATTCCCAAAAGGCTTACATGTCAATTATATCTCAATAACGCTAGGGGGTAAGAAATTCCCTAAGGGATATTACTTGCTTTAGAGATAAGTATGTATTTTTACAAACATAAATGGACTTTTAAGTTTTAAAAAAATATAATTATCTTACAATGATCAGTTTCTTTGAAAAGCATTCTCTGGTGACAGTTTTGTTTACATTGACAATCTTTAATATATAATTCTTTATTTTCTTGTTGATATGCTAAGAATTTCATTAATGCTGGAAAGAATAAAAATGTCATTTAATAATAATAATTATTAAGTTTAATTATTTAATAATGGGATTATTTTCTTATTGTATTAAAAGTGACTTTTTAAAACATATTTTGGTGAGATCTGCTTGTAATTACTGTAGATATTTGTGACCTAAGTACCTTGAGTATTTCAGGCACTTATAATAATTACTTATAATAATAATAATGATAATAATAATACATAAATAATTGAAGACTAATACAATTACTTAGGCCTGGTGAAAATAAAGATTTTGGGGGCACCTGGGTGGCTCAGTGGTTGAGCACCTGCCTTTGATTTAGGTCATGATCCCAGGGTTCTGGGATTGAGTCCTGCATTGGGCTCCTTGCAGGGAGCCTGCTTCTCCCTCTACCTTTGTCTCTGCCCCTCTCTGTCTCTCTTATGAATGAATAAATAAAATCTCTAAAAAAAAAGGAAAGAAATATTTTTATTGATCACTGTTTTATCATTTTTAAATTGTCATCACTTCCAGTTTGGTCAGAAAAAATTACAACCCAAACAAACAAGGAGTCTGGAAAAAGTATATATATTTTTCATTTAATCTTTCTCACCTTGAAGTTTCGAAGCGAACCATGAAATCATTTTTCTTTCTGAATTGAATGAGTCTTATTTGTTTCTCTATTAGTTTAGGAAGCTCTAAAGGAAACACAAAACAATAGAAATTAGGCAAGGGAAGAGCATAAATTGGGAATTGTTATCATTTTGCTAAATTAAATGACCTCCAGAATCTTCACACTTTTGCCCTATCCCCGGCTCCCTAGCCTCTTTATGCCGCAAGTCATGCAAAGAATTCTCAGTTCAGTGTGAGGTCAACTCAACTGAGGTAATAGCATCCTAAAAAGACAGCATCTACTGCATCTGGAAAGAAGGCACACACATAGGAAAGAGGAATGAACAAAACAAAACCAAAAAAAAAAAAAATCCACAAAATAAACACTGCAGAAACTAATAATAAGTACACAAAGTACACAAGTGTATTTATTACATTTTTGCAAGCACTTTGTTCTACATTTCAAAAACGCCACCATCAAGCTGTTGGCACATTTATGTACAAAACAGATTAATTGTAATGCCTGCTACAAAGCACTCTTTGTGAAAATACAAACTCTAATACCAGGAAAAAAAAAAAAGCTGAAAGCATCAACATCATTACATAAGTTTAAAAGACAGTTTTAAAAATCATCACAAACTGTTAAGACACAGAACTGAAACACTATAATATAGAATTTAAAGAGGCCCATTAATACTTTTGCTGAATATCTGTAATACTGCATATATCAGAAAATTGTTGAACCAGTAAGATAATCTACATGTAAAAAAAAAAGCAAAACCCCAAATTAATTAAATAATACTACAGAATGCATAATCATGCCACAGATAACCCTAGTAAATACCCCGCTACCTACTACAAGAACTTGTAAAATTACGGATGATGCATGACTAGTCGTTGTACAAAGATTGTTTCACTCATAAATTTTATTAGAAATGCACTTACACTGAGAAAAGATTTCACAATGGTCAAATCAGTGCACGATACTACCTAATTTTTTATACACTGACAAAAATGTCTTGTCAGGCTACAGCATTTTAAAAGACACTTTACAGCATTCTTGTAGCATTAGAAATAATCAAAAGAAGAGTCAAGGTTAAAACAAACACCAATTTTGGTCCAGTAATACTGATTGCTTTTTTTTTTTAATTCCTTTGATATAGGTACTTCTTATAAATGATTATGACTGAACATTTGGTTAAAATGACTTACTTCAAAGAAAAACACAGATATATCACTACACTTGGAAGGGATACATTCTATCGTGGCCTCTGACCACACTTTAAAAAACACTACAGGTGAACCAACATAGATCGGAAGGCTGCAAGCAAAGCTATTATATTAATGGAAGCCTTTTCAAATATATCATACACATTGGAGGGATAGTTTACAGAGGTGCAATCCGTTAAAACGTTTTAAAGTAGGTAAAACAACTTCGGAGGGGTTAGTGTGCTTATTTTTAATATACCACCTTCATAAAGGTAATTAATGTTCCACATTAGCATATTAAAAGTTCCAATCCAGCCACTGCTTAAATCACAAAGAGATCATTCTTGAATAGTTCACAGTAGTTATTTCCAGTAAAATTGTCTCTATACTAAGCTTTAAAAGGTAAGTCTGGTGTCACAATCTTAAAAAGGCAACTAGCCATGCATTAGCATCACTGTTTCCATGTGCTCACAACATAAACATGAGTAATCAAGAGAGAAATACATCAAGAAAAAAAATACAATGTTAACAAAGATAAGAAGCACTTTTTTTTTTTTTTACACCTACTCTTACAAATTTAGAAACTGCACCTTAGATTGATGAAAATATGAACCAGGGCCTGTGGTAACGTGGCCACTGATCTCCAGACGAGATTTCCATATTTCAAGAAGAGTCCTCGTGATACCATCTCTGTCTATTGTTCAAAATGTACAATGGTCCCTTTGAAGGTTACCTGTAGTTAAACTAGTTACCGAAATCAAAACTAAAAAGTATAAAAAGCTATTTTTCTTCTCAAAACATAAGAAATAATGCAAAAGGTGTTATGTATCAACACATGGGAAGTGGTTAAAAATCAAATAAAATCTCTGCACTTGACAATGTTAGTATCTTCAATCTTACAGAATTATTTAAATGAGTGTGAGAAATTTAAAAAAGGAAAAGGCTGGATAGGAGCTTGTAGAAGAGATTTGTTCACACCAATTTAACAAATTAGGAAATTACGTGCTAAACAACAAAGAATTGTGGTCAGGTGATTCATAAGTCACCCTACAGATCATTGATGAGAAGCACTCCCATTTTAGTTTTCACAAGGTTGGACGGTTGGATGGCCCTTCGTTAAACACCAATGCATCTAGATGGCAGGCAGGACAGGCAGGGCGGATTTATGTGTAGGCGTTGAGCCGCTCTTTGGAGCGAGTAGAGTGGATGTCATGAAGCTCTTGCTCCTCCTTCGACTTGATGTCCTCGTATTTCTGCATCCGGCAGGCATCTTTCACGTAAGCCCAGTTGGCAGACAGAACCATAAGGTAGTGAACCTAATCAAAGACAGAAATAATTTATACTGGAAGTCTGGTCAGTGTCTTCCTTACACCTCGCCATCAGGAAAGAAATAGTCGAATTATACGCGTAGGTAGGGCATGTGTGCTAATACAACGGAACCCAAATCTCTGCGGTAAGAGGAACAAGATAAATAGGCTATTCCTTCTCACGCCTCTGACTACATGAGAGCATCTTCTCAGCTCCCCATCTTTCAGAATCTCTCTCTCTCTCTTCTTCTTTTTCAAGTCTGGAGGAGCCAATATGGATTCTTAATTTTTATGTGATCACTTGTTTGTTTTTCGCTCTTTCTCTCACTCCTGGTCCACAGAGAGAGATAAAGCAGTTTTCCAAATGATGGCTTTTGATGGGTGAATATGAAAGAGAAACTAAGTTGTTAATTGTTTACTTGATCTGAGATTTAGTTTTTTTAAGATTTTATTTATTTATTTATGAGAGACAGAGAGGAGAGGCAGAGACACAGGCAGAGGGAGAAGCAAGCTCCCCATGGGGAGCCTGATGTGGGACTCGATCCCAGGACCCCAGGGTCACGCCCTGAGCCAAAAAGGCAGATGCTCAACCACTGAGCTATCCAGGCATCCCTTAATCTGAACTTCAAAGGGTGGGTGATATTTTTATCCATAATTTAGTAAAAGAGAACACTAACATTTTGATTAGCAAAGAGTACTTTGAAAGACAGAAGGTAGGCTGGTTTTAGAAAAGTACAGATAGACATAAAGAACACAAAGTCAACTCTAAGTGGTGACTATCGTGATATGTTAAGGCGGTCAACAGGCAGTAGGGAAAAAAATGACAATTTTGACACGGCTATATGGAAAAGATGCATACCAATTAGAATACCAATAGGAATTTCAGAATGTTCTCTTTCCTCTGAAATTCTGCATTTTGTTTAGTGGAATTCATAAGCCACCTGCAAGCAAGAGCTGTGAGTTCTGCTCTTGCACTCTGTCATTTTCATACTGAAGCCTGAATCACTACATACATGTGGACGGAACAGACGTTATACACATGACCAAATTCATGTGGCACTTTGCTGTGGTTGCTCTGAAAACAGCAAGTACTGTGGAGCATGTTTAGCAAGCAGTGGGTACTCAGAATATGTTTTAACAGAATGAATATATTTTTAGATGTACAAAAACTTTCTTTTAAAGTCAGAGGAAATATGACCCCTAAATTGTCATTAAATACGTCTGAGTGAAATATTGAAAGGAGTGTCATTCTTGTTCAGAAACTGGCAGTTTCCAGGAGGTCTTTGGACATTTCCTCTGGCCTTAGAGGGACACCAGCTGCCAGGCTCATTACTGTCCCTCACGTGGGTGAACAGCAGTCGCTGGGACCTGGTGCAATGCCAAGAAGACCCCTTTTGCCTACAGAACTTCCTAACTCCTCTGAAAATTTAAATGGAGTAAATCACATTAGTTTTAGTTTAAATTCTTACTATTTTTGCCTTAAGTTACAGATGGTGTTTTAAATATTTTGGTAGAGAAGAACTGATCTCAAATTTCTCTTCTCTAATATGGAAATAATAATGGTAGTCTACTTTGAGTGTTCAGAGAGTTGGTGATGAGGTCAACGACAGTTGCTGTATTACGACTATTGAATGTATTCATGTACTTAAGCATTTGGTGGTGCTTTTAACGGAGCAAGATGTAAAGAATCTATTGACAGTGCCACTGGTACTAATATTAGTGCCAGGAACAGAAGGAATAATTATGTTGTATTATCCCTGTCTCCTAAAACCTAAACTATTATCAGAGCTAAAGAATTGGAAATACTGATGCCAATCAGTAGTTAACTGTTATTTATTTCTTAAGGCATTTATGATTTGCATATATTTAGATATCCAAAAGGATGCTTAGTACTTAAAAATAATACTCTAAAACTCTTGTAGTTTGCAATAAAATTTGTTTATAACTTAATATCTAAATTTATGCAAAGTATAGATTCCTTAAGAAATACATAACATCTGAATTGCTATTATCTTAAGATCTTTTTGATGATAGAATCATTTCAGAGTAGACATTTTTAGGGACATTTGAATAACAGTATTCATTTAGACAGGTCCTTTTTCAGTAATGTATGCCTAAAGGCATGCATTCTTACACAGAGTTTTACACACACTTATGTGTAGCAAATGTGAACACACAATTTATTACACACCTCTTTACAAAAAGTGCTTTGATATACCTCTTATACATGAGTGCATACTGCTTGAACATACACAAGTCCCTAAAAATTTTCCATCACACAGGAATGTATATACGAACGTGTTTCCTCTTACTGCACAACCAGGCTGGGTGCTACCTGGGACACTGAGTGTTCAGAACATCACTGCCCAGAACGTGTAATGCTTCCCCAGGGCATATTTTAGCATTGATTTTAGGCTGAGAATATAAATCATTTGCTTATTGTTTTACTGTGACCTCTCCTATCAATTAGCCAACATGGTCTTATTGATCATAAGCACCTCATGTTCTGAAATAAAATTCCTGTGTACAAGTTTATACACTCAATCTAAAATGTTGAACAATTAGCATTATACTAAATTAACAAAATGTCTGAAAATTCACTTTAGCACTGACCTGGTCATTTCTCTTATTTTTAAAAATCATTTTGAGGAAACAGAATCAAATCTTAAGTGTTTATAAAGTCACTAAAAAAAATAATAACTGGTCTGGAATAGCTTATCAGTACCTTACCACTGATTAGTTCCTAGTTTTCTTCTTCTTTTTTTTTTTTTTTTAAGATTTTATTTATTTATTTATTTAGAAAGTGAGGGAGGGGCAGAGCGAGAGGCAGAGGAGAGAATTTCAAGCAGACTCCCCATTGAGCAGGGAACCCTATGTGAGGCATGATCCTACCACCCCAAGATCATGACTTGAGCCAAAATCAAGAGCTGGGTGCTTAACTGACTGAGCCACCCATGTGCTCCCTTCATTTTATTCTTTGACAAGAGAGAAAACACTCATAGTTTTTAAAAAGTGCTTCTTTCACCAACACATCAGACAATGGATTGGCATTATAAGGAAAGGAATTAAAGAAACCTGCATCAATTCATCATTCCTGCATATTGATTTGACTAGAATATTTGTGAGGTTCCCAGGCACATTCTGGAGCTCTATTCTACTTCACTTTTGTATTATTACTTTGCATACCAGGATGCAAATCTAAGGACTGGAAGACGGAAGACCTTGGCTGCAAAGAGTATTCCTGATGCTCCAGGCATCAGTCCACTGTTGGTCTTTGGTGGTCGGGTGAGTAACCTGGACTTCCCAGTGAGTTACCAAGGAAGTTACCTGCGACATTGCAGGTCCTCACCACCCAGTATAAGCTTGACTTGAAAAAATTTGTTCTTTGTATTTCTGAACTAAATTAGAGATTAAAGTAATGACACAAAACAATTGACATCTGTATTAAGAAGATTAAATTAATCCTTTTTCCATAAGTGACTCAATATGGCTTTTCTTTATGTCCTTGAATGAGGAAGAGGTAAGGATAATGTGAGGAACGGATTAGATTACCTAGAATACCACTTCGATACAGACCTAGATGATCCAGAGGTGATTTTTTATGTTAATAGCAGCGATCTAATATCTGAACCACTAATGCATTTACTTATTTTTGTTCACGTTATCAAGATGATTGAGTGTTCTAATCCTTAAACAGCTTACTGAATAGTCTCTCTATTGTAACAATAATAGTTTTTCAGATTAAGCCTTGTGTTTTTTGTTTGTTCCCTGTTACCACCCCCTCCCTTCCCCCCCCCTTTTTTTTACTGATAGTAAAACCAGTAGGATTAGTATGGATTTCAGGATTGGAGACAAATGATCATCGCAATGTGTAAATCACCTTGCCATTCAAATCAAAAAACCAAGCCTCAGAGCTCCAGGTCTTACCATAGCAATAACAGCTGCCCCGGCCCCGGCAAGCGCCACAATGAACAAGTGGAAGGTCATGTTCAGCTGCAAAGAAACCAACAGAGAATCAAAACCCGTGTCAGGGTTACAAGCAGAAGAGAGACCAGGACGGCTGCTGTCTTATGAAGAAGAACTTTGCATCTTTAATGAAAGTGCACTTAGGATACAAAACATTATTACAGTATCTTTTCTCCTGCAAATTATTGAAGTCTTTGCAACTGCAGCATTTTAGTATAATTTTATTACAAAGACGATATCGTCCTTAGTAATGATAATTTTCGGTAATATAACTATATAAGGCTACATTATCCTTTTACCTAATAATATTAAAAATGTTCAACTTTCATGAAAATGATAGTTTCTGGAAAAAATATATTTGTTATAATTTTTACTGAAATAGAGCATCTCATTCATATTTATTCTCCAGTCACCCTGCATAAGATCACTGTGAGTAAAAATGCCTCTGAGAGGGAAGGGGGAAAATTCAATATAGATTTACTTATATTTTAAATATATTTAAGTATATTAAATATATTTAATATACTTAAATATATTTTACTTATATTTTTCAAATACCAAATGTGGCTAAAATTCGGGCAATATAAACAGCTTTAAAAACATTTACCTCGGTAGATTCACACATCCTCAGGAAATTCTCAGAGACGGTGCAAATTTTCTTTTCCTCTCCAATCGTCACAATCCCTACATGTAGAAAATTATAGCTTGGTTTATAAATGTTTTCAAGAGCCCAGAGAAAGAAAAAGAATTTTGCTGATAAAAACTAAGCAAGTTCCATTTTATGCCACAGTATAATGGAAACCTCCTTCAGCTTTTATTGCTAGATAATAATTATAACCGGAATTATGAATGGAAGATAAAAATTATTTAGCCCTCAAGCAATTTACGACATTTTTGATCTGAATTCAATTGGACCTAGCCACCAGAATCTCTGGATTCAATTGTAGCCGGCTGATTGGTTTGGTCCATTAATGCAGTGGTGTAGGCATCACAATTATTTTGATTACTATGTCCCAGACAGTACTGAAGTGTGGATCTAAATTTATTCTGCTGGTATAAAGCTTCTATTAGTCTATAAAAGCATATTGCCCAAAGGAGTAATTTTTTTCTGTTAATATTGAAAACAGTGCTAATAGTAGGGGGAAAAAAACCCTGTAATTTTGCTTATATTCACCCTTGCTTTCAGTTGGTTTTTATAGACCAACTGCATTAGAATCACCTGGGGAATGCTCAAAAGTATGCATTTCTGGACTCCACCACAGAACCGTCAAGCCAGAACCTGTGAGTGTTTGCCAGGAGTATTGTGCTTTTAACACGCACATGGGTGATACACTGCCACAGATCTCATTTTACAGAAAAGTGACCAAGGCTATCCTAAAATGGGTCTTTAATTTTGTTTTGAGAACTACGGAAGCATAAAGTGAAAAAAAAAAAAACCCACAAGTTCTGGGCAAACTCACACCTAAGCTTTTAGCACTGCCTGCCTTGTCTTAATTTTAACACGCGCATATACACACACCTTCAGCTTTGAGGCACACTGTCCGCTCTCACTCTCTATGGGCCTCCTGCCACTCTCCTTTGCCAGTAGTCTGTGCAGTTATTTTCATTTTAAAAAATAACTTCTTGCGGTCCATCACATGCAGATGTGCTTCTCCGTGACCTTTCATTTCTGCCAAGAGGGGAGGTGCTAAGGGGGGAGAGGGGGACGTAAGAACCCCCTAAGATGTGTCTAAGAAAGTTTCTCGGGAAAGGCCACCCTTCTCCACGCTGACCTACTACCCACTTCGCTGGTGTGGAATCCCTGGGCCCTGCACATGGTTTCCTGGCCTGTGTCTTTGTTTGCCTCTGCAGCAGAACGCCTAGAAAGTGCTGACTATTCTCACTGTCTGCGATTCCCTTATTTTCCTTTCTATTTGAACCCTTTCCATTCAGCTTTTGTCTCAAGCCTCCATGGGAATCCACAGTGCCCTGCACATAATCCAAAGATGAGTTCTCCAAGCTGCCCTCCTGGGCCACTGGCTCCCTCTCCTTCCTTAGATCCCCAACCCCACGGACTCCTGGTTTTGTCTTTCGGTTGTCACAGGCTCCCTCACTCTTGGACTTCACTCAGGGGAGCTCCCAGCGTGCACACCTCGGTCACCTTTGTCCCCTCCCATTTCACGGAGTCTCCAAGCCTGCTAACAATGATCAACAGCTCCCCGCAATCCACTCAGCCAGCTCCCCGTGCCTTTCTCCAGAAATCCAAACTCCTCTACCCAATTTCTCACCTGACACCTCTGTTTTGGTTCCTAGTAGGTCTCAGCATCTTCAGAGTGAACTCTGACCTCCCTTACCCGCCTTGTGCCCAAGGAGGTGCTTCCTGTAGGCTTCCTGCTCATCTGACAGCAAGTCTTCCCTGTGGTCCGGGGAACCAGGGCACTCCCCTGGATTCCTCCTTTTCTCTCAAACCCACAGGCCCACCGATCAGGACATTCTGCAGCCCCTCGCTTCCAAAGGCAGAGAGCACCAGGCTACTTCTCCCTACTTCTCCCACTACCGCCCACGTGAGCCCACCCGAGCCCACCTGAGTCATCTCAGGGCTACTACAAGAGTGCCACTCGGCTTCTCTGCTTCTACTCTTGGGACAGTCCGTTCTCCATTCGGCCACCAGAGTGATTCTTCTAGAATGTACGGGGGATAATGCTTCTCTTCTGCCCAAACCTGCAAATATTCTCTACTTTCTGTGGAATAAAAGTCTCTGCATGGATGACGTCCTGCCATGCACTCAGCATGGTGTTCCGCGATTCCGACTCCATCCCAATCTGCTCTCCCTGCTTTCTTGTTCTACTTCAGCCACACGGGCCTCTCTGTTGTTTGTTGAAGATGCCAGGCACGGAGCTGCTTTGGTAACTTGGCCTGGATCTTCCCTCTGCTATGAATATTCCTACGACCCTCATGTCTTTCCGATAACAGCTATTTGGTGAAGCCTTCCCCCATCCCCTTTGAAATACTGTAACCCAAGCCTTCCACTCAGTCTCCAGTGCTCCTGATGTTACACACACACACACACACACACACACACACACACACAATCTAGTTATTATGATATAATACCATATACCACAAATATACATATTGCAAGTTAATTATAGTTTGTAAATCCATGTTTGTGTAATATGAAGCTATGAAAATGAGCAAGTTATTTCATGACTCATTTTGAAATATGGCAAACGCTAATAGGACAAACCATCTGTAAGTTCCCCGACCCTATGAACTCTATGATGCCTCTGCTTGCCATTAGGTCTGTAAGACACGTATACATGTATCACATACAGGGGAATGGATGGGGAAATGTAAGTAAAGACTAAGCAGGCATCCAAGCTATTACCATGATCAGAGTCCCCATGATGCGTTTCAAAGGCCTTGATCCCCTAAAAGCAAAGATACCGTCTAGATGTAATGAGACAACTTTGCAAAATAAGGGAAATCGCTTCATAGCATGTCCTTATCTACTCAGCCACCTTTTTTTATGACAGTAGTCTGTACTGATCATGATCCAGACTTGGGGGAGTGTCCTTTTCTGCACTGACGCCCCTTGCTCACTTGATTGTGCATGTACACTCAGGATTCTTATTGAGGGCATATAATCTGGAAGGCAGATTAAGTGCCATCCAGGACGTAGAGTCTGTATTAAGGGCAAACAGAAAGACTTTTAATAGCTGATGTAAAAGGTTGCATGACATCTGAAAAGTGGCCTCTCTTCCACATCATGGCGAAAAGTTAAACTGGAATGAATCTTGATGAATATGTTGTAAACAGTGCTATGGTTCAAAGGGCAGCTTTAATCCTAGTCATGGTTTACACCTACTATACGTGTGTCCCATATAATATTTGGACATGCTGTACTAAAAAAAATTGCTTGTTTATCTGAAACTGAAACTTCACTAGGTGGCTCCTGTTGGCTGGAAACCCTGTTGGAGAGATGGGCCACCTCTCTTCCAATTTCCAATGTTCAGATCAACAGAACAGGAGGAAAACATTGATGGGAAGGGACTGACGCCAGAGCCATGTTTCCAAGCAGCTGTTCTCCCATGACCTCCAGCAGCTGTTGGGGATGCTTTCCCTTCCTGTGTTTATGTGCGACAGGATTCCAAGACTGAAACCTCTCCGGTGGAAGAGCTGTCCTTATTCCCTCTGTGGTCAAGAACTGCATCCACAGAGCAGACCCTGCTTTTCATTAGGACCAGGCAAAGGAGGCTTAGGACTCCAGTTTATGGGATGGAGAGGAGGCTACAGCCTTGGAGCATACAGTTGGCTTACTGTACCCTATGATCTACCTATAGCACTCCACTGAGCCCCAAGCCTGCAGATACCACCTAGTGAAATGTTCTCCACTTTCCTGAGCTATCAGGAAACCTTTTAGAGAAAATCATAGGGAGCACTCCCAGATGTTCATGGGGTAGATTTTAACAGCCAGCCTATGGGACAAAATCCACCCAAACATGTGGATTTCCATATCTTTTGTTAACTTTTGTAGCTCTATATTTTTTACAAATGATGGAACAGAATTCCAAATAAGTTAGGTGAGATTAGGTCCATTTCTCCACCTTCATGGAGCAGTTCACAAGCAGTACTTGTTTCAAGAGGAGAGATTTGCAGGCTGATTTGTAATGACCACAGATCCTGAAAAAAGACTGTTGGGGTTTGAGTCCTGGCTCTGTCACATCCTAGCTCTATACACTGGGCAACTCATTTAACCTCTCTATATCATTTATAAAGAGGATAATAATATTGTCCAGCATACAGAAGTGTTGGAAGGATCAAACACATTAACATGGACAATAAGGTCTGTGTATCACAAGCCTGCACACACATAAGAAACCATTTTTATCACATGGAGGTTTTAGCCCTGAACAAAAATAACCAACTGCTGGTTGGTTTAACATTCTTTGATTTTGTTATTATAAAATGCTAAGCTTTTCTGCCTTATTTCAAAAACCAGAGAAGCGCCTATTTCTTAGATGATCTTCACACTAGACTTCACAAATTGTATAGTTTGTCATGGGAACATAAGAGTAGATCCGAGAAAAACATCCAGTCTGGAAAGGCGCAAAGGAATCGGGACAAGGACATCACAATTGTATCTTGCCAGTACCAGAAAATACACCCATATAGTCTGTTCAAACATACATGTTTGTATATTCATGTTATGAGACCAACTTCCAATCATTCCTCAACTCCTACATATTTAAATAAAAAAAATGTCTGAAAGGTGAATACACGGTGACATGTCTCAAGTATACATTTCTCATCGATCTGTGACGGTTCCAGGGTGATTGGCACTATTTCAGAGGCAGTCATTTAGGTAAAACAACAGGAGACCTCATTTTAGTTCGAGATCCACTTACCAAACTGACGAAGGTCCAAGCAGAGATTGGCTCCCTCCACTAAGGTGGTGTTTCGGCAAATGGTCCACAGGTTGAAGTACATGTAGACTGGCAGGGAGGTGAAAGCCGTGACCCCCAGCCAGGCCAACATGAAAAGGTATGTCAGCATGATAAACTGCAACAGAGGAAAAGTCGAGAGAGAAAACATGTAATCTATGGAAAAGAAGATTTTTGTGAGTAATTTACAAAATCCAATCTGAAGTGTTAAGTGTCCTTGTCACAGTACCACGGGAAGCTGAGAGATGCTGAATAATGTGGGTTCTGTGAAGAACCTGCTGGAAGATCTCCTCATGGCACAGGTGCCCAGTGACAAGGGAAGAAACGATCCATCTGCATCATAATGTCTGTTTCATTCATGTATTGGTCTCAAAAATCTCACCTCATATTTTTTAAGAAAAAAACTTTAGAAAACAGTAACTGGTATATTTATGGGGGGGTTTGCAAAGTTAAAACATTGTCAGTAAATTTATGCTACAACTACACAAGCACCATTCACACCATGAGAATGTAAACGCTTAATCAGGTTTCCATTTAATATTAAACATGTAGTAATTCTCAAGTCATTTTAGTATTGATGATATAAGTGCATACTCCTCCTTTTCAGTGATTCCTGTAAATGTTAAATCTGAAGTCTTCTTTCTTGAATATTAATTTTATTAATTTTATTTTTGCATTTTACATTTTCATGGTAAAATGTGATTTTAAGTTTGAAAATAAAGATTTTTTTTCTGCTTATTTCAGAAATATTTTTAGTATTTATAAAATGAAGAAAAGGGCTTTTCATGTGCTCATATATAGTGGAATAAGGGACTTACTTTCAGCATAGGTTAAATGGATTTTTAGTTAAGCATGCATGCTGGATAAAAAGTCAGCTGCACACATTGGTAGATGGATGAAGAGCTGGTAAAAGATAAATGTAGTAACCTGGCTTCACCTTACTTATCAACTATTTAACCCATATTATCTACATGTAAAGTTGTCTCCATAATATACACCTTGAATTCCTAAGCTAACACTTTTATTAACAACTGTATTTTGGAAGTAACTGCAGAAGAACAATTTTAAGTCACAATACCCTGAGGCTTAAATGCAGGCTTGAATGCACACATTGATAACAAATTGCTTATATTTCTCAAAGCAAGTTATGTGTCACTGGATTCATTAGCATATTTCCCATGATCATAGGAATAGTTTATTATATGAAGTGCCCACATAGACAAACACCAACTAAAATAGAGACTGGTAGGCAGATAGCCTCAAGGGAATTGCCATGTGGTATTTTTAAATGTAATTATTTTATTTAAATTCAACTTAACTAACATATAGTGTATTATTGTTACAGAGGTAGAGTTTAGTGATGCATCAGTTGCATACAACACCCAGTGCTCATCACATCACATGCCTGCCTTAATGCCCATCACCCGGTTACCCATCCACAACCCCCTCTCCTCCTGCAACCCTCAGTTTGTTTCCTATAGTTAAAGGTCTCTTATGGTTTGTCTTCCTCTCTGATTTCATCTTATGTGTCCTTCCTTTCCCCTATGTCACATGGCATTAACGAATCATACTCCGATATCAGAGACTGAAATCAAGATTATCCTCAAAAAGTAACTGAAGAAGAAAATCACTATTGTAGGGATTGTTCTGCTGTAATATCTGGCTCTTCTCACCTGAATCCCATATCTGTGAATAAGACTATAGCCTTCGCGGCCATCACTCATGTCCCTGACCTTACCTAGGATTAGCAAGTCATCTTCCAGCAAAACACAGAGAACATGAAAGAAGGTAAAAGCCAGGAGAGAGTTTTCAGAACCACATTCTTGTCCACTCTTCAATGTCTGCTTCATACCTTTATGCACTCCTCCAGTCCACAAATACTGTGTTAGCAACCGTGTGCATTAGCTCATGCTCTATGCCCTGGCGACGCACAAGGTGGGGGACACAGTTTTCTGACTGCAGGAACATCCAGCTTGGCGGACCTCATACTCATACGAGATGAGACACCCTCCCAAGTAACTTACATACCAATCTCCTCTCTCAATCTTCAGTTTCGCTGTCTGTGATTATATTTTGTCCTTGTCCCCCAAAGGGATGTAATTTTACTTCCCTTTCTTTCTCCCAATCCAACTACCCTTAATAATACCTGCAAATCAACACTGGAAGTTGCAGAAAGATGTGTTCTGTTTGCATATGCATTTCCGCGTGTACCAGACGATGATCAGAATTTGCATCCTGACAGAGATCCACTCCAAATTTTATTGCCCTTCCTTCCCTTTTTATCCGTGTAGATTGTGTATTGTGAGAAGTTCGGGCACCTTACAGTATGACTTCTTTTAAAAGTGGCATCTTCTGAAAGATTTTCTGAAGACTGTGCTGCATTTATATAATCAGGCTCAGAACATGGGATGCCCAGCACATGTGAATAAGGGTGAAATTGTATCTTTTAAAAGATTTTTAAATTTATTTATTTGAAAGAACGAGAGCATGGTATGTGGGTCAGGGAGAGGGGCAGAAGAGGAGGGAGAGAGAATCTGGAGCAGGCTCCATACTCAGCATGGACTTCACCACTGCAAGATCATGACCTGAGCTGAAACAAGAGTTGGATGCTAAAAAAAAAAAAAAAAAAAGAGTTGGATGCTTACCTGACTGAGCCACCCAGGTGCCCCTGAAATTATATTTTTAGTCCTTTAAACATACTCTATTAGCTAATATGGCAATAGGATTCTATTTGAAAGTGTCTGAAATATGCACGCAAAAAGCTAAATTTCTATAGACATGTGGTTCCCTTCTGAGATTCAGAGGCAGCATCTAGAAGACTTTTGGAGAGAAACAGTAGTGTATTCTGGGTTAACTTGAACCCCACAAGTCATGCTTTCAAAATGACTATACAGAATAAAATAAATACACTGAATGAAACTAAATCTCTTAGTCAACTCTATTAATCACTTTGGCGATGAGTTAAAGAGTGACTTTATGACTTCAGTAAGTCTCAAACAAGTGAAACTCAATTAATTCTCAGAAGATATACTAAAGCAACACTTTCAAAAAATGGAAAGCTTGGTGTCACTGTCATGTTAGAGCTTATGCATCAACATTAAAGTTGTGTTGTGATTAATATAGAGATTCCTGAGATTATGGATAGTAGGGGATTCATACAACAGATAAGAGCCAAGATAAAGCCAATGATACCTGAGATCAAACCTTTTCCTATAAATTGAAAAAGGTCATAGGATTTCGGAAACTCGGAACATGATTAAACACATACTTTCTAATAACACTGCTTAATCTCCTCCTGAATCTGACTTCCTGCTAGCCTCTATTCTGCAGTAGCAATGGTTGGCAGTTTGAAGAGCCAGCACCTGTCCTAGCAGTGACCTTGAACTACGATTTGGCAAACATATTTATACTCTTACGTCCAAGATGAAACAAAGCCTGGTCTTAAAACATTAGAAAATAAAACCTGTTGAATATCAACTTATTTAAATCACTGAAGGAACTGGAGCAAATATCCTTTAATGGCTATTTACTCTTTTAGAGTAAATCACTTTTAGAATTATTCTCAACAAATACTTACGAGGGCCTAATGAGTGTAAAAGTGTATCTGGGGATTTCAGTCAGAGAAAGCAACAAACACTTCGCCCTATTTTTCTGCATCCGAAGAATACAAATATTCCGTGTGGACATCTAGACAGTAGGTTTTGGTAGTCTGTGGTAAACACTCTGTTTGCATCTACCAGAGAGAAAGGGAAATATTTTTGGGTGCTCTTTATTCTTTCTCTTTTCTGGAATTGGAATGAAGCAAATCCACAGACGAAGTTCAGTGGGCAGGGTGGCTGCTGGCTCGGAATCCCTCCATTCTCTCGGCCTTATAAGCCCAGTGTAGGTGAGAAAGGTTGGTTAGGCCTCAAAGTATGGTTAAGTATGCTTCATGTCCCAGGACCCATTCACTCCTAACATTGCTAATCTGTACAATCTGAGGAAAGTCATTTTCCGTTCTTTGCCATTTGATTCTGTTCTGTAAGAGAGTAGAGACTGACTTATCCAGCACCAACATGCCGCTCACTGCCTGTGTCTCTAACCTGAATGTCACATTTATTTAGCAATAAAGGGGAGATTTATAGCACACTGATTAAAAGCACAGACTTCTGAGCTGGATGGAGTCTGGTTGCTTGTTCTGCTGCTGTGACTGCCTTTGTGAAAGGAGACTACCTGCTAAATTGATCTTTCGTGATTTAGGGAGGCCGGAGCGAGGTAGCTCATAAAAATCACTTAGCCTAGAATCTGGCTCCTAAGAAGCACAGACGAAATATTAGCTATTTTTATGCAAGACAGCATTATTGCGATTATTGCCACTACTATGCAAATATACGTTTTGCCTGACTGATAGGATTGTACAGAATAAGGGAATTAGATTTCGTTCCATGTGTGGAGAAAGTAAAAAAGAAGTTCTCGAGTCTGGGAAAGTTATTCAGAGCGGGCTCCCACTTGAAGAGAAAGGCTCTAGAAAGTTTGGAAACCACCCCAAAACTGAGGAAATCTTGTTAATGGAACTCCTCAGAGGGAAAAAAAATAAAAGGGCCTCTTTATTAACATTTTCATTATTTGCAATTGTCGATCTCAAGGCTAATTTATAGTCTGCAGAACAAGGGCCACGATGCAGCGGCTCGAAGCCACTGGAAGCTCCGGGACAGTAATCGGTGTGCCTTTGGCTGTGTCCTCTCCAGCGTCTCGGGTTTCTTTTGGTCCCAGGGGATTTCTCCAAAGCTTCCTTTGAAGGTGCTGTTCACTGCAGAATGGGACTTATAATTCAATAGGGTTGGATTCCAAGTGGACTGGGACACTTTGAACTGTGTCACTGCTGCCTCTTTATGGGCCAATGGAAGGCATGACTTTGGAAACTGCGGCAGGGACGCACACTGGCTCCCCGGCCAGGCTGCGACGTCCCAGGCCAGTGAACAGAGCTCAGTGCCCACGGGGAATCTTTGCCGTGAGAAAGTATTTTCATGATTACTAATTCACACACTTTGTTCTAAGGAGGGCACAAAAGACCTTAACTCTTGAATTTGGAGTGCAAACCTCCTGCATTTCAGGGACGCGCAGCTCATGGGTCACAAACATCCCCAAATTAAACTAAAAATATGATTCAACCTCCCTATTTTAGTGCTTTAGAATCTGATAATTGCCCAAAGTGGAGAATTATTCAAAATGATCAAGTGCAACCCTAGGTAAAAAAAAATAAATGGTTTGTAATAAAATACCTCATAATTATCATGCAATTTCTAGTCACATTGCCAGTAATGTGACAGATACCTGTTCTGCCGTTTGAGCACTAACAATGATTAGTCAATATATAATAATATACAATAAATAAGTAATACTAAATAAGCTACTCTTCTTTTTAAAATAAGGAATGATGGACAGATAGCGTTGTATTAGTTTCAGGTGTCTGACGTAATGATTCCATATTTACATATCCTGTGAAATGGTCACCACGATCAGTAAGTCCAGTTAACATCTGTCACTATACACGTCACAACATTTTCTTTTCTTGTGATGAGAACTTTCAAGACCTGCTCTCCTAGCAATTTTAAAATACGCAATGCCATATCACTGACTCTAGTCACCACACAGGCAGAAACAGCTCAGAGCCCACTGTGATGAAGACGTCTCGCTAGGTAGACAGTTGGGAGCACAGCCTCTGATAGGAGTTTTCAACCACGGCCACACAGGGGAATCATGTGGCAACTGGGAGAGAGAAAGAGCTGCTCGGGCTTTGCCCATGCAGACTATATGTATATTTATGTATTTTTAAATATTTACTTGAGAAAGAGAGAAAGCAAGTGGGGAGGGAGGCAAAGGGAGAGAATCTTCAAGCAGACTCCCTGCTGAGCGTGGAGCCTGACCTGAGGCTCGATCCCATGACCCATGAGATCATGACTTGAGCTGAGCCAAGAGCTGGATGCTTAACCAGCTGAGCCACCAGGCACCCCAGACTATATCTAGATTTCAAAAAATCTCTGCTGGTGATTCTATTGGACAACCGGTGGTAAGAACTACTGTTCTATTGGAATCAATAAAGCTCTCATGAGTACATATGATGTGAGGGTTTCTTTGGGATTTGTCTGCAGGCTCTTCAGAATGCTACATCTGAAGTAAAGAAAAGGTAAAGTTGGCATGACTTGCCGGACACTTATGCCTGGTCAGCCAAATGCATGGATGAGTGAGGCACTGGACATGAAATATATTTCTAAATCAGAGTTCCTCAAATTCACCAGTTTGGAAATTGGAGGCCAGCAACTTCTCTATTACGGGACTGTCCTGTGCATTGCAGCAGGTGCAACAGCATCCCTGGCCTCAACCCACCAGTTGTCAGTTGTGTAGCCACCGTCTCTCAGTGTCCTGAGGGGGCAAATAGTCCCTGGTTGAGAACCACAATTCTAACACAAAGCAATACCAAGTCAAAGAAAAGCAAACCAATACCTGAGAACGCTGTCACTACAGATGCAAAATGGAGCATCATTAACAACATTGAACTCAGAAGGCTCTGGAAAGTACACTGTGGAAACTTTACTGCAGAAAAAAATTATGTCACTTATTATGTAAATTAACTTAAAGACGTGCAATCATCATCTTCGTTGTCGTCATTATGGCCCCAAACTACCTAAGCACAAGTAGTGATCAGAAAATTGTTTTTCAGAAACTATTTGCTACGTTTATAGCAGCTGCATTCATAATTGCTCAAACTTGGAAGACACAAAGATGTCCTTGAGTCAGTGAGTGGATAAGCAGACTGTGGTCCATCCAGACTTCGGAATATCACTCAGTACTAAAAGGAAATGAGCTATCAGCTCATACAAAGGCATGCAGGGAACCTTAAAAATGCATATTACACGGGACACCTGGGTGGCTCAGCTGTTGAGTGTCTGCCTTCAGCTCAGGGAGTGATCCCGGGGTCCAGGATCTAGTCCCCCATCAGGCTCCCCGCAGGGAGCCTGCTTCTCCCTCTGCCTATGTTCCTGCCTCTCTCTGTGTGTGTGTCACGGATAAATAAATAAAATTATTTTAAAAAATGTGTATTACTAAGTGAAAGAAGCCATGAAAAGGTTACCTACTGTATGACAGTTTCGAAAAGGTTAATCTATTGAGACAATAAAAGGATCAGTCATTGGCAGGGGTCGGGGGGAGGAAGGATGAACAGGGGAAGCACAGAGGGCTTTTAGGGCAGTGAGACTGTTCTTCCTGATGCTATAATGGTGGATATACGTCATCACACATTTATTCACACTCACAGAATGTGCAACACCAAGAGTGAACTAATGTAAACCATGATCTTTAGGTTCACTGGTTGCGGCAAATGTACTACTCCGGTGTGGGGTTTTCACAGGATGGAGGCTATACATATGTGGGGGCCAAGGGGATATAGGAAATCTCTGTACTTTCCAATCAATTTTGATGTGAACCTAAAACTGCTCTAAAAACTAAACTCTCTTTTAAAATATACTAATTGTGATGCTTCCTTCTTTGTTACCTTGCATTGGTCTCATTTATTGAACAAACCAAATGCAAACACTTCAGAACATAATACACAATCTACTAGGATTTTGCGCCTGCCTGATGTAACACCTTGATAACTGCAGTATCCTAAACATTTCATTCTGATTCTCAGCTTCCAGGTTACTCAAAGGATGTGTTTCTATTCTCCATACCCCAGATTAAGAGCCCCTCTTACTCATCAATTCACTAGGAATTAAAATTTCCTGTGTGTCAACAATGTGCACCGTACAAGGGTATATACTGGTCAACAACAGACTGTAATCACCTTTCTCTGTGCAAACACCATAAGTGTCCTCTGCTCATCAATATGCTCAGCATATGTGTCCATGTCCAAGTCACCTGACTATTCTAACTAGACTGGAAGCTCCCCAGAAGCTGGAAAACTGCCTTGTACATTTTCACATCACCCGTGGCCAGCACAGCACTTCAATCTGTGTAAGAAATCCTCAAAATATTTAGCAAAAGAGATTATACTTCTTCATCTTTTTTTTTCTTTTTTTTTTGAGAGAGAGAGAGAGAGAGAGAGAGCTCATGACAGCAGGGGGCAGGGAGGGGCAGAGGGAGAAGGAGGGAGAGAATCTTTTTTTTTTTTTTTTTTTGCTTTTTAATTGCTTTATTAACTTTACACTTTTCCATGCAATTGGGTGACTTTACTGTTGACAGAAACTTAGACTGAGTGCCAAGGCAATCCCCATTTGGAATCTGGTAATACAGAACCCACCTGACACATGGAAATTACATATGGTTCACAGCAAATGGATCAGTAAAGGTTATCAGGAAAGGGCAAGGAAAAAAAACCAATGTGAATCACAGTATTAATCTCATGGAAAATGGCAGGAGTCAAGGCATAAGGCAAAATTCATCATGATGATCATGGTGATTAGAGAGCTCCCCCATCAGGATACGCAGGCAATTCCTCAACTGCAGCTCCCTAAGTTTTCTCCTGATTTCCCTCATCTTTTCCATGAACATTTCCATATCATCCCCATCTCCACCCATCCCATCATTGACCTGCCTATTAGGTATGGCCCATCGGAAATTAGGAGCAAGTCGACGAGCCTGTCCCCGTCTATTATTTCCTGCAGGTTGGTGGCCTTCTCCCCCTCCCAAAGGGTGGTCTTCCTCTCCATTCTGCATGGGTTGCTCCATTTCTTCGTTTTCCTGGTGGATATTTGCCATGAGATTTTTTTTCCTGGTTGATTTTCTTTGAACACAAATAAGACAAAGGCAAGGAGAGAGACTGAAAGCTTGGTGTACTGAGCAGCAGGATCCAGAGATCTGGTACCTGGGCCTATCCTTGCTGTCTCCTCTTCTCCCGATTCTCGCCGTGTGGGCGCCGCCCCGACACTTGACACCTAGGCCCGCAGTCCTGCTCCGCTTTCCTCGGGCCTGACGCCAGCCCGCCGGGCACAGGACACCGGGGAGCAGGTACCCAGACGGGAGTCGGAGGGAGAGAATCTTAAGCAGACCCCCCAGTGAGTGCAGAGCCCAATGTGGGGCTCGATCTCATGACCCTGAAATTGTGACCTGAGCTGAAATCAAGAGCTGGACGCTTAAACAACTGAGCTATTCAGGAACCCCAAGATTTTACTTTTTTAAATCAGAACAGAATTCAAATAAAATCAAACTCCTTTAAAAATAAAAACATCACTGGCCTAGTAGAATACATTTCTTTCCACCAATATTACTAGAGAGGACATTTCCCTTTAGTGAATGCTATTTTAGTATCAATTATACAGCAAATGTGCGAGAAATGTTTTTGACCAAGGATCTCAATATAATAATGCTAAGCTCAGTAATAATTCCTCAGTGAACACTTAAATTTTTATATCCTTAATGTACTTATTAGTTTCCCCACAAACCACCATAAACTATAGAAGTTAATCTCAAAATGAGAAAAAGAAGCAAAGAAACTGAGTCTCAAAAAAATATGGTGAAGCATGATCTATCTGTATAATATTACTGATTTAAGGGCAAAGTCATAAAATAGACACTCTTGCTTTTACTCTAAAAGCAAATATAAACAACGGGGCGCCTGGGGGGCTCAGTCGGTGAAGTGTCTGCCTTCGGCTCAGAAGGGAGCTTGCTTCCCCCCCTCCCTCTGCTTTTTATTTTATTTTATTATTTTATTTTATTTTATTTTATTTATTTTATTTTTCTCCCTCTGCTTTTTCTCAAATAAATAACACCTTAAAAAAAAGCAAATATAAAACAAATATCTTCTGCATCAAGATTATTATTCCCAGCATAGCGGGCACAAAACTCTTGGTCGGAAAAGAGATGTGTCCATTAACCAAAGAATATTTTAAACGTCCACTTGTAACCCATGATTATTATTTCATCTCTAACCTAGTGGTCTATTTAAATGATAAGTACTACGTGTATGGAAATATTTGGCACAATAACATCAGTTGAACCAATTTAAAAAAATTATTCCATTTCCAGGGGCGAGAAGTCTCTTGAATTTGAAAATCTAACATGAGAAGCCTTGCATTTTACAACAGGCATTCTTGTTTTGTCGGTCATTTTTTGAGGCTAACTGGAAGTTTCTGTCAACCTTTATGTTCAAAACCTGGAAAGAATGAGACTTTTTTTTTTTTCCCTGTAATTGTTGTGCTAGCATCAGTAATATCCAAAAGAGTCAGGTTGAGACTGGTTTATTGTCCCAGTGTTCAGTTTGGGTCTGAAACCATGTGTGGGACTGGCTTTGGATACATATGGCAGATAAAATCCTGGTTCCTTCCTCCACAATGCAATGCTTTTTAACACATTATTTCCAGATATTACTATGTCTGAAAGCAACGTATGTATCCCCTCCCTCCCCTGCCCCTCACTGTGTACTGAGAAACCAGTGTGACAGTGTAGTGTTATAATCTAAAAAAAATGACATCGCCTTTTCCATGTTAGATGTATCCTAGAGAGCGTAGGCCTCATTGTAGGAACTTTGGCTTGGCAGTCTTGGATCAAAAACATTGTCTTTTTAAAATTTAATTTCAGAAGACGCTCTGTTTTAGAGAGAGACCAGAGTGAAGAGTTCCTTGATGACAACTTTACTTAGAAAGTTACCCTAAGACTCCTGATAGGCAGGTATCAAAACAGAAAAGTATCTCACAGTACGGGATTCTTCTGGGTTTCACAGGGCATCCTTGTATTGTAAAAAAGAGATAATCCATGATCACGGATAAAAGCAAAGGTTAAAATGAGGACATTTCTGCAATGAAGGACTTTCAATGATCAATGAATGATCTCTCTAAAACAGAGTTTCACTCATGAGTTACAAAAGTCCCTCCCAACCAGATCATTATCCCATTAAATTAGCCTAAATGCACCAAAGAATGACAAGGCAAATCCTGATCAGCCCTGATCAGGGCTCCGTGCTGGACAAGTCACTTATCTTCAGGTGGTGGCTTCCTCAGCTGTGAAATGAGAGTGATGCACGTCACTACTTCACACAGTTGTCTGGAGCATTAAATGCCTCAGTGTTCTGTAAAGTGCCTCGCACAGCAACTGGCATTCATAAGCACCTAACAAACATTTCCTATTATCATTACTGCACTTATTAAAACTTGACCTCAGGCTATGAAAATGAACTATGAGTTATGACACTGAATAGATTTAAAGGGAATCATATAGAGTATGTCTTATAGACACGAGTCTAAAGTGCTGTGGTCAAAATCTATAAGCATCCGAGGCTAACAGGACAAGTATTTGAAAGTAAATAAACAGAATACATTTCTTCATCGGTAAAATGAGATTAACAATAGCAACTCCCAAATTTTGTTGCGTTAAGCATTATATGCGGCACACTGCTGTGAATTGAATGTCATTTTTCTACAAAATTCGTGCAATGAAGTCTTGACCCCCAATACCTCATGATGTAAGTTTATTTGGACACAGTGTTTTTACAGGAGGTAAGAAAGTTAAAAATGAGGTTATTAGGGTGGGCCCTGATCCAATCTAACAGGTGTCCGTCCCATAGGCAGGGAAAGCTGAGTGTAGACATGCATGCAGGGAGGGTGCCCTGCGAAGATGAGGGCAATGATTAATCAGTGTGGGACGCCAAAGATGACCAGTAACACACCAAGGCTAGAGAAACAGACTGTCCTGTGTGGCCTTAGGAGGAACCAACCCTCCCAACACCCTGACCTGGGACTTCTGGCCTCCAGAAACATGAGACAATAAATTTCCACTGTTTAAGCTGTTCATCATGGTCACTTTGATACAGCAGTCCTCACAAAGGAATACACACACTTTCTAGAGACTGTCTTGTTTTATTTGACTCTTAGAGCAGATAGATTTAAGAAAAATAAACGTATTAATTTCCATAGTGAGTAATACATTTAAGAATTCTATTACTTCAAAATTGGTGGGCTTAAAAATCTGAAGTGTCAGGACAAGCATAGACAGACTCTGAGCTCCACTTTGGTGTCATAATGGTAATTAGGAAATTTTTAGAAATGACAAGGGTTAGTGATGGCACAACACATACTTTCAGATTTCAAAATGTGAGACATGGAATGCCTCTCCAGTAGCAACTGAATAAATATATATACATATATATATTTAATATTTAATGGAGAATAAATTCAAAGAAAATAAGTATTTCTATATTCATTAAACTTATTAAGTGCATGTTTAATGTATCAAATAACGTGTTGGCTGGAACTCGGTGCCATTTAATATTTAACTTAAATAGATTTTGTTACTTAGAGTACTTTAATGACTTTTCACATGGCACCATAATACAAAGGTTAATACTGTGCTTTTATGTTATTTATGTGTCTCACATTCAGGGTCTTGAATGATAGCATTTAAAATTTTGAAATGAACTTGAATTGGTCTTGATACAAGAGAGGAGACTCACAATGCAGATCAAGTTATGCTTTCCAGAGCATTCATTAAGAAAAGAGAGTATTGATTAGCATCCTCTATTCAATAATAGAATGCAGCTTGAAAATTAACTGCATTTGTGCTGATGTAGATTCAATTAGTAACCATTTTACTTTGTATACAACACAGAGAAACAGGGATAGAATAACAAGTTTCTTTTAATCCTAATTCTGGAAACTTTTCACTTACGGTTGTTACAAAACAACAACAACAACAACAACAAAACAAAAAAACAAAAAACAAAAAACCCATAACTATCCTACCCTTTAATATTATTCAGTATTCCAAGGAATGCATTGCTGTAGCATCAAGAGGACATTTTTAATGCAAAGGAAGACCTGAACACAGAGTAGACCATCAGGTGTAATCTACCTATAAATGGGGGAAAAAAAAGCAGACTGGGAATAGGGAACAAGAGAAGAGGAGTAGCAGGAGAGGGTGACCCGTTCACTGTGACCACAAACCCGCAGGACAAGCAAGTCAGGTGTGTCATGCGGAGAGAGGGTTGCAGGACCTGTGGGCGGGGGAGCTGGGCCCCTCGATGCAGGCAGTGGCAAGGCAGCACTCTGCAGATGCACAAGCACAAAGCCCCTGCTTCTGTAGAGCTCTGCTCGTCCCCAGGCAGCAAAGGGGGTGCTAAAGGAGTGGGTGGGGTGTCTCGGGGGGCTGACTCCCTCCTGCACCACCGCTGGAGGAGCCCATGCAGCTGCTGCCACCCTTCTGGTCTGCTGGGTGGGACGGACGAACACTTGTTACTCTTACAGAAAAAAAAAACAAGGTGGCTCATGTTTTTGCTTTAAACATTCTCATTTGATATATCTTTGGGTTGTTTGCATGGTAAGGAGACAATTCTTAACTGTATGTGGATGTGCTTTTCCTTCCATGATTTTGTGCTTCTGCATCCAATCCTATGCAGTGATTTTACAATTCTCAATGGGAGAGCGTCATCAACAGCACTATTCTGGCAAACGCGGGCTCTCCGATGATGAAAATGTACTTCGTGAGAGATTCTTTTTCTCTATTGTTATTATTTTTTTAAGATTTTATTCATTTATTCATGAGAGACACAGAGAGAGAAAGGCAGAGACACAGGCAGAGGGAGAAGCAGGCTCCATGCAGGGAGCCTGATGCGGGACTCGATCCTGGGACTCCAGGATCAAGCCCTGGGCTGAAGGTGGTGCTAAACCACCCAGCCACCCAGGGATCCCCTTTATTATTTCAATAGTGCTTTAGAAGCACAGACTCTCTAAGCTAGAATGAGCTTTAGGGATGATCTAATAAGGGCTTCATGCTGCACATGAGCAACCTGTGATCTAGAGAAGTTGAGTGACCTGCTAAGGCACGCAAGTGGTATCAGGACGGTACTGTCCCAAGTGCAGGAGAAAGCCCATCAGTGATGGAAACCACTGTACTCTCTTTGCAGAATGTAAATGAATCTCAAATTACAGCTTGCTGTCTTAAAAGAGAAATCACTGAGGTATCTCTGACAACCGGCCCGAGGAAGGGTCATATTTTATTTTTTTGAATGGATCAAAGACTTAACTTCTTTGAGATCTGTAATTTGATATTACTGATCCTAAATACTTAGTTATTACAATAAGCATCATTCCAGCAAAGAAAGGAGTCCTACCAGAAACGCCTCCAGAGACCACTACAAGGACCCATCACATGGGCAAAGTGTTTTTCAGAAGATTATCACTCGGACACTGGGCACCATGACAGAACTCGCTACAAGCTGGTAAAACAACCACAAAGGTTTGGAGGTTCACAGGTATTTTCGAACTTGTCTGTAAGGTTGAAATAAACTGTATCATTCCTCATTAGAGACCTCTTACTTAATATGAAAGATACGCTGTAATCACACAGATGTTCTTATATAACATCGGAAAACTAAGAAAAGCATGTTAGCCAATAATGGGAGTTCTAACATTTCTTTATAGGAACATTATTCTGCATAAAAGTACTTTCAATTCTATTACTCTTAATTTTTAAATTGCTCTTGTGCTTTAACAGATGCATTGTCTGCATTTCATTAGTTCTAGAATGGGACCGTAATCAGTGAGGATTGAAAAGGTAATTTAACATAATAGTATCATTTTTACCTATGTCATATTAAAGAGAAATTACATTATATCACTCCCCCTAATTTACAGTAAAATGCAAAGGCATATATTTAAGGAGGAGAGCCACATATAATGTCCCTAATTGCAGATGGATTTCTTTCTGTTATTCTAAATATTGTGCAGGAACGCCAAAGCCCTTTGGGAAAAAAAAAATCCTGAATCAATCTGCAGGTTTGCTGCCTCTAAAACAAAAACTAGCTGTGCTGTATGTGATTTGAGAACTTGCAGCTGAATTTTCACACGGAATAATCTTAACTTAGAAAATAATATTTTTAAGATTTTAGATCGCCATCACAGGAGGGAATGTCACTGTTTTTAAAAAAATACTTTAATTCTTGGCAGACGACTACAGACACCTGTGTGCTATTGGAATAAACCCACATTAAACCCTGAACATCGACAAATAACGTACCCAGGCGCTCACGCATCTGCCGCAAGTGGTGATTTTGAAATCCCCATAGAGATCTTTGATGGCACCGGTCGTGAAGAAACCTTCCACCATCAGCAGAATGCCATACACAAAGAATGCAGCTGCGATGCCGTAGATCACATACTTGAAGATGTCAATCCTGGGGGGGAAGAGACAAAGGAATTTATTGCAGTAACTCTTCATGCCTGATTGGCAGCAATTGAGTCTTATGTGTTCAGGGCTCCTTTGGGACAACAGCTACAGAATATGTACATCCATGATGGGGGTTGGACTTAAAAACATTTTTGCTTTCTATGCCTAATGTTTGCATATATATTTTATCCTCCCTCTTCTGGTATTTGTTGATGGGGCTCTTCACCTTTGTTCCTCCTCTTTCCTCCTGTTCCCTGGTTCATGCCAAGGTAGTCCTGGGTAATCACTGGGTCATGCTGCTAATGGTGTTTGCTGAAATCCATTTGATAAATAGGGTAATCATCCTATAATTTCTTCAATTATGACAAAATATCAAATAGAAAGATGTATCTATATACCACTGGGTTTTGAAAAGAAGAATAAAGCCTCCTGAGTTCATGATGAATCCATTTTCAATAAAACAACCTCGTATTTTTTCTTATTACAGTCGATTGTAATTATGTTTTAGTCCACACTTACTGTAAACAATCACTAATATTTTTTGCTAATAATGATGTCAATGATGAAAAAAGTTATGTTTTTAAGGAAAAATTATAGCTTTGAAAGATCAAGCCTTTTAAGCAGAACCACTAATGGATTCAGAATTCAAACATGGAGCAAGGCCTGAGCCCAGTTTGGGTATAATATCATGTAGGAATGGGAAGCTATTCTCTCCTTTCTCACAATTTAGTGCTCATGTATTTAAAGGTTAAGGGGCTTGGTGGGGGGGGGGGGGATACATATATTGTCTATAAATCGCAGATGGATGTTTCTGTTATTCTGGATATTAAATGGGAACCCCAAAGCCCTTTGGAATGAAAAAACATGATTGAACCATTCTGCTACTTCTAGAAACAAAGCTTCTTGTGTACCCACAGTATGTGAAGAGGTATATCTTAGCCAGTGTTTCGTTTTCATAATCTCGATAGCCATTTGTAAGAAAATGTCTCTTTATTTTACATTGTCAAGTTTGATTTTTTTTTTCTCTTTCCTCTCATCATTAGAGTATGAATGATCGAGATACCTTGTTGACTGTTTCCAAGGGGACAAATGAGAGATGAGAAAGCATGATCATGTTGATGGAGATTTAGACACTCTTGATGCTATGAGAATATCTTTAAAAGAATACATGTCATGTCATAAGGGAATTTGTTGCATATAAATAAAAGCAAGAAGAGCCTGCTAACATTCATTGTACCAGGGCAATTGTTTAGTGAGTGATTTTCACTGTCTGAAAAATCTAAATATTGCAGTTTTACTTGTCAAAGGCAATGAGGCAGATGACATAAATTTGTAAGTTCATCATGCACATTAAAGAATCTGAGGATTTCAACTTCTAGATGGGACTTTGAAGAATTTGGTTCAATGGGCTCCTCCATTAAAATGATGTATTTTATGTTTATTTAGAAATAATTTCGGGATCCCTGGGTGGCGCAGCGGTTTAGCGCCTGCCTTTGGCCCAGGGCGCGATCCTGGAGACCCAGGATCGAATCCCACGTCGGGCTCCCGGTGCATGGAGCCTGCTTCTCCCTCTCCCTGTGTCTCTGCCTCTCTCTCTCTCTCTCTCTCTCTCTGACTATCATAAATAAAAATAAAAAACAAATCTTTAAAAAAAAAAAAAGAAATAATTTCAAATTTATGAAAGAAGTTGCAGAAAATGAATAGTATGAAGAAAACCTATGCATCTTTTTCCTATTTCATAATATTTTACCTATTTACTTTATTGTTTTCTTGCGTTCTCTCTGTCTCTGGGTAATTACATCTGAACATAGAGAAGTCCTCCACAGTATAGTTACTGACTTCAGGAAATCTAACATTGATCTAATACTTGCGTTCAATCTATTATTGTATTCCAGCTTTACCCATCGGACTGACCTAAGGATGCACTTTATGGCATCTTACCTCCCCATATGGGATCCAGTCTAGGGCTAAGTCCTGAATTTATTTGCCACATCTGTTTACTTTCTTTTAAACAGGAACACTTCCACAGCCTCTTGGTCTTTATGAAATTGACACAGTTGGGGAGTAAATCCTACTTCCTTCTTATTAGATAGAATGCTTTTCATTATGAGTTTGGTCTTTCCTCATGATTAGATTCAGATGATTCATTCATGGCTGGAATACAATAAAGGTTCATCTGCCTCTCGGTAGTGATGCTGATTTGAATCATCTAGTCAAGATGATGTTGAATTTCTGTATTGTGCAATTGCTATTGTTTCCCTTGTAGCTAATAAGTGATTTGTGAAGAGACACTTAAGGACCGTGCAAACATCCTGTTCTTCATTACAACTTCCAGTCCATGTTAGCAGTCATTGATGGATCTTGACTAATCCCATCTTCCTATTGTATTAACACAATGCTCATTTTTTCTTCTTTTCTTTTCTTTTATTTATTTATTTGACAAAGAGAGGGAGAGCACAAGCTGGGGTGGGGGGTACGGGCAGCAGGTAGAGGCAGACAGAGAAGCAGACTTCCTGCTGAACAGGGAGCCCAACGTGGGGCTGGATCCCAGGACCCTGGGATCATGACCTGGGCTGATGGCAGACGCTTAACCGACTGAGCCCCCGAGGTGCCCCCACAATGCTAATTTCCTCACCGTAATACTCATTGACATTTACCATTTGGCACTAGATATCCTGATGTAGGCAAGAACCCTCTCTTCTCCCCCTTGTTATTTATTTTTTTTATTTAGTTGTCTATTAATGATATGGACTAATGATGTCTGCTTTTTTCTCTGAAAGTTTGTAAGCCACTACTATAATTATTTTGGTGCTCAAATTGATCTACAGGTGGTCAGTGGGCATTCCCAATGCTGGCTCCTGTATCCTTGTGACACATGTCCATCATTTTTTGTAAAGTATTCCCTACTTTCTCACATGGCAAGAGGACCAAATCTCCTTTAATTAGGCATCTCTTTGCCAAACCCTGGTTCTTATGAGCAGTAGTCTTGGAGAATAAGATGTAGATGCTCATTGCTGCTGTGGTGTCTTTGCCTATTGGTCTTTTCAGTGTACCAAGATAGGAAGTACATGCATTTATACACACACATTCACATATACAATTGCACAAACATGTTCATTCACGTATCTACATATATATGCATATACATGTACACACGCACATGTGTCTGCATATCAAACATGCACATATTTTAGAAATCTTAAGTTCACAGTAGTATTTCCAAATATAATCAATTCTATAGATATTTCCAAGTCCAATCCACAGGATTTTTTTATTGCCTTCCCCCAGTCTATATTTGTATGACCTTCCTCCTCAGTGAGAATCTTATTTCCCAAGAATAACATACATTCTTTTATTCGATTCATAATAAATCTAAAAATTATTTCACAAGTATTTCATCTTAAGTATTACAAAAAAAATCAAACCTACTTAAAAAGAATTCAGGGAGTTTGCAACTCCCCTCCCCCTCCACCTAAGACTAGGAGTGTATAGTCAAATCTCTGTTTCTAAATTACTTGGATTAGTGAATTTTTTCTTCTTCTCTTCATTGTGCTCATGGCATTCATTTGAAACGCAGTGGGGGTCTATTTGTTTCGGTTTGTTTTAGTTTTAGGTTCCCCATCTCATCCATATTGACTTAACTTCGTTTCTAAACGTAGAGAACATTAACGTGCTTCCAGGAATCAAATCTATATAAAAAGATACTCCCAGAGAAGTGTCATGACCTTCCCTAACCCTTCCAATCTGTTTCTTGTTTTCATGTTACCCTTCTCGTGTTGTTTTTATATAAAGGCAAGCGTGTGTGTATGTGTGTATACATATTCCTGTCTTCCTTTCATTTAGAAGGTAGCATATACAGACGCTCTTTTGCACTTTACTTTTATCAATCAATAACATTCTCTAAAATCACTCCATATCAGTTCACAGAGATCTTCATTCTTTTCAACAGCTGCAAGGTAGTCCTAGTGTATACATGTATTATTTATTTACCCAAAATTCTATGCTTGCATATTTAGACAGTTACCAATATTTTGCAATTACAAATAATCCTTCAATGAATAATCTTGCATGAATGTATTAAAAGAATTGATAATGTATCCTTAGGGTAGGAGGATGGAGTTGAAAGCGAAGGCATGTAGCTTTGTTAGAAACTGCCAAATGCCTCTCCATAAGGGTTGTACCATTTCTGCATCCCAAACAGCGATGTATGAGACTCTTTTTCTCTACAGTCTCAACAGAAGTGTATACCGTCAAGCTTTTGAATTATTGCTAACTGATGGGTGATAACCGGTATCATAGTTTTGCTGTATTTATCTTAGAGTGAAATGCAACATCCTTTTATATAATCATGGGCAACATTTATCTTTTTGTGAACTGTCCTGTCTTTTGCTCACTTATCTATAAGACTTGTAGTCAGTCCTATTTTCACTTCAATCTTAAAAAGACTTTTGCATATTAGGGATATTTGGGTTTTTCCTATAACACATGTTGTTAATACTTTCTCCTAGCTTGCCATCTGCTTTTTGATTTGACTTATGGCATTTTTGCGACGCAACTTAAAAAACCAAAATATTCAATGTTGTCAAAGTTATCTGTCTTCTCTTTTTTTTATACTGAAATTTTAGTTATAGTAAGAAGCCATTATAGAGGCTATAGAGGATATAGAGGTATTCACTCATGTTTTCTTCTAGCATGTGTATCATTCTATTTCATTACACTTAGACTTCTGATCAATTTGGTGTTTATTCTTTGGGTAGTGCAAGAGTTAGATCTAATTTCACCTTTTTCAAAATGGCTGTCTATAACACTTGAAAACTCGGAGACATGGATGCTTCTCTGAGGGCTGGGGAGGTTAGGAGCATCTCTATTTTATAGGTTCATAATAGTTACAATATCAAAGAGTGAAGTGGTATGGTATTGTTAATTTTGTCCAGTGTTATCATAGCATTATTTGTATACTAATTTCTACAAATCCTCTCCTGCAGACACATATTGGAGTATTTTGGG